TCCACTGCTCGAGCTGACTCAACAAATGCTTGTGGCGTCATCGCTGAGTGGTCTAGCGTGTCGGCACGCCTTTGCTCGAGCGAGCGCCGCGTTGGAGCCAAAGTCCCGCCCATCCACGAACCAGCTGCTGGTGCTTGACCCGGCGCAGTCACCGATGGGACAGCTGAGCTCACGGGCGTAGGTACTGCTGCCGCGCCTGCTGAGGACGATGGTCCAAGAAGCGCTGGAGCCAGCTTCGGAGCCACATCCATTGATCGCACTGCAGGGCCCTCGATGATCGGCGGCATCACTGTCGCCACGACCTCATCGAGCGGGTCGTGACTCTGAAGAGCGAGCGCCTCGGCTTTCACAATGACCCTGTTCTTCTTGAAGAAGGGGCTCTCACTGACCAAGTGCACGTTCATGGCATTGGACTCTACGGCGATTGCCGAGATGCGAGGGCCGGTTTCCTCTTCTGCTGTGGCCTCTGTCTTCGCGACACTGCAGCAAGTTGAGCAAATTGGAGGGCCTGATCAGGACACTCCACTCGGGCGCCATGCTCTCGCCCCCAGCTTGCGCTCCTGATCAGGGTCGGTCCAGACACTCTGCTGAAAGCAAGCCACGAAGGTGGAATCGCAGCCGAACTGACAGCAACGTCAATGCGATCGCTTGCAGAGAGGAAACGCATTTCCAATCTGTCTGCATCAGCTCCGAACAAGTCTGGCGATGAAGTGGCCACGAAACGGCATTCGAAGTGGCAAAGTGGAAAGTCCAAAGCCACGACAACGCCTCCGTCCGAACAGGCGTACAGGCGACCGCCCACTTCGAAGGAGCAAGCGATCACCCTCCAGCCCTGGAAGACAGTCACGACCACCGATGGGATGAACACCGTTTCCGAGAGGATCGTATGGATCGCATCGGCGACGTGCCAGAGTTGGATAGCCATATCATGATCAGAGCGATAGCCACGAAGTTCAAGATGGACGAGTAGGTGACCTTCCAACTTGATCTTGACATCAACCCAGGTCGGGCTTGACTCAGTCATAGGTGGCCACCTGAATGGCTGAAAAGCCGCATGACTCAACACCTCACCTGTCAAGGAGTCCCAGCGAGCGCATGGCACACTGGAGTAGCAGGTAGCGGATCCGCACAGGGTCACCTTGACACCATCCAAGGTGCGTACCATGAAGATGGTAAAGTGATACCCTGTGGAGGGAGTCCTCACTGACGATCGGTCCGACTTCACATTGACGTAGGACAAGGCATTCGTCAGAACCTCATCAATGAGCCATCCCTGAAAAGGACTCTGAACTCGATTGTCACGATTGTCCAAAATCAGGATGGAGCGCTCGCCCTCATTTGATCCAATCTGCGAAAGATGCCCCGGCAGTTGGCTGTTGAGAGGATTCCTTGCCAGATCTGCTGGCGTCATCTGCCCCCAACGGAATGCTCTGCGTCCACGGCGAGCAGCCGCTTCTTGCTGTCTCCTCAGTCTGCGAGATGCAGGGAACTCGTGAGCATGATCATTGATGCTCTGAGCAGCTTGTGCAGCTGGTGCAGCTGCCTGAGGAGCTTGAGGTGTAGCACTCGATTGAGGTACAGGAGGTGGCGGTGGAATAGTAAATGGCTGTCCACCTTGCTGACTAGTTCCTTGGTCCATTGGCCGATCGGCCTCTTCAAAGACACCTTCACACTTCTGAGACGCAGATGCCGAGCCAGGCTCTTCTCCAGGTCGTTCGAGTCGAGTCCACGAGCTGACTGAACTGGCATCATCCCACCGAGCGGATGCATTGAACATTTGGCGTTGCAGAGCCGCTGGCGGTGGCTTTGCCTTAGGCTTGACCGAAGCCGAGCCAGGCATTGCCTTCGAAGGTGTAGGCTGATCAGCCATGGCACGCGATCCCAGGCCCACACGGGAAAATGATCTTCCTGGCGATCGCGTTCTTGAGCCAAAATGGCGAACGGACACGATACAAATAATCAACTGATATTCAACCGAAAGGTTACATCGAAAAGAAATTCAAATTCAAGCTGAACAGCATTCTTTGCAAGTGACCCAGGTGTCCCAGACCTACCTTACCAACAACACCTGACCTGAGCTCACTGACGAGCTGAATCACGAGATTGAGGAGTTCTCCACCCTGGGAGCCAAGTATAAGTACCTTGACTTCACTTGCTCTTTATTTATGTGTGTGGCAGTGACAGTCACCGTGTTTGTGTTATGTTTCTTTTGTCGTCCCGTCCTTACTGTGCACTCAAACTAAGCAGCTCAGGCCCTAGACTTTATACAACATGGACTCACTGACCCCACCACTACTTATTCCGCCCGTGCCCTCATTCTAGCTAGACCAGACCTTGTCTCAGGCAAGTCCTGGAATGCTCAGAGAAATGGCAGATGGAGCCTGTCCCTGTCCTTTGGATGTTTGATGATTCACAGGCTGAGGAGGTGGCCTCCGATGTGAATCTGATCCTTGAGCAACGCACGTCCCTCAATGAGAAAGGGAAAGGTCTATCCAAGCTCATCACCTATTGCGAGGGTGGAGATGACTCCTTGCGTGCATTAGCTGGAAACATGAAGAATCAGCTGACGCAGATTCAGGTGTGGCATCGTCGTCCAAGAAGTGTGTCAGTGTGAGTGTGAATGGGGTAGGTTCTGCTAGTGTGTGTGTGTGTGTGTGCGTGCATGGAAGGCCGCCAGTATATAATCAAGGATGCCAAGGACAAAGAACGGAGTAGCAAACATAACACACATGACATAAATTAAATTACAATATTTCATGATTTCTATTAATAGATGATTTGTGGGCAGCCATTCGGTCTTCTTCAAATGTTCCAGGTTTCCACAGATGCGGGGTTTCACCGTGTCACCCTCAGAAAGCAGGGGTTCAGTTTTGCGGTTGTAGTTGTAGCTGTAGGTTTCTAACCTGGACCTGGGTGGGTAACAACTCCAAAGCCTGGATCCATCTTTTGTTTTACACACTGGACTCTGGACTCACTGGACTGTGAAGACGTGACTGGGACGTCGCTCACTGACCAACTTTCCACATTGTTCTGTGATCATCTCCAGTCCAACGCCATTGACAGGACAGCCGCCGAGATGTGGTCTTGACAATTGGTGTCATGTCATGCTGTGACGTCTTCTTGAACAAGAAACATACGGACAATATCCCCGGAGTTTGTCAGAAGGTGATGACCTTTCTGGGGACTCTTGGCTTGACCAAGACTGACATGCTGAAGGTGAGCCCGAAGCTCGTGTCCCAGATCAACGCGGTGGATGGTTCGCAGAAGGGCCAGCATGTGAAGGGCAAGAAGCGTCCCAGCACTGATTCCAAGAATCAGCCTCCTGAGACAGAGGATCCATCAGAGGGAGAGACACCAGCAGCAGCAGCAGCAACCAAAAAGCAAAAGAAGGACTCCAAGCGCAAGGAACCCAAGGAGAAGAAGAGCAGGAGGAGTGGTGGAAACAAGCGCAAAGGGGTCGACGACAATGACTCAGACTGAGCCGAGCCAAACAAAACAGTTTGGTCAGTTAGATCATAGATCAGAATCAGATCTGTTCAGCTTAGCACTGCAGACTGTGGATAGTTGGGTTTGACAGCCAGCTTTCCCGTGGCCCGCTAGAAGTGGTGCAGAATACGACAGGACAATACTCAGACCCAGAACTTTTTGAACAACCAACCAACATGAACGTATTATGACTTGGTTTGGTCTAGTCGGTCTAGTTTTCATGTTTTTAAATATATCTAGGACTAGTACTTGTGTTCTTTGTTTTTGTTGTGGTGTGGCCATTCCGGGCCATTGGCAAGCCGGGGAGGCTGTCAATCAACCACAGGGCAGTGAATGCTGACTTGGACTCAGATCCTACGGCTCTTGAAAAAGTCGCAGAATTGCAGCATTGCATCGCGCTACACTCTTCGTTTTTGTCTCAGTGACTCTCACAGTCATTCTGACATGCCATTAGAAGAATTCTAGAGCCTTCCCTGTATAGTTCCACAACCCCCCTGGTATAGTTCCACAACCCCCTGGTATAGTTCCACAACCCCCCCTATATAGGTTTCCACAGAACAGAGATAGGGGCCCACTTCAAGTACAAGATATAATAGCTAGATTTTGGAGTTGACAACCCACATTATCCACATTATCGTGACCTGCGCTGCAGCAGGGCATCGCCCCGTGACTTGCCAGTCCATGACAAACACGACAACAAACAACAAAAACTGACACGTGAGTAAACACGGGAAACTTACGGGTTGTGCTGTTACTTTTTGTAAAAACCATTTTTTGGGTGCAGAAATCCAAGTCGTAATGATAGCGGCATCATTTGCATGAGCAAGGTGTTCGTGTGCTCCTTGTTTCTCGGGGAAAGCCGGCACAAAGACAACCCAGGGCCCAGAGCAGCGCAGCGGACAACGCTTGGGCCATCCCTTCCCTCAGAGAGAACCCCAATTCTGTCCCGCTTGTCTGCGTTATCGGCCCTTTTGTCACCCTTGTCGGGCCTGGCCCCTTGCTTGGCCACGCCGCTTCCCTTTTCTCTTCTACCGCCTTGTCCGGCTATATTTTCGTGTGAATGCAACAGTTATTTTGCTATCATCCGCGGATTCTATGATCATGATCATGAGACATCTCCCGTCGTGTTTGCACATGTGACCCGGCAATCAGGAACTGTTGTTTTCAAGCATGTTTTGTTTGCATGTCGCTTCCAAACAGCTGGAGGCATTGGGAATACAATATAACTACAAACACTACCACCACCAACATTGAAATTCAAGTTGTTGACACCAAAAACCAACGCCGAAACTGTTTGGGGTCTATGCTAGGAAAAATGTTTTAGAATCTTAGAACCCTCTTTGTTAATCTTTAAATGAACTCTGCGTGCTTGTGCACCTTCTTGGGCCACTTGTGCGGCCTAAAGCCTGATACAAACACCCCGAACAACACACAACATAACACCAATTCGCAGTTGGCAGTTATCATCAAAGTATTTGTTGCTTTTGCAAGGCTTTGACCGTCGAAGGTCCAGCCTGCCGAGCCAAATCAGGGTGCTGATGGCTGCGGGTCCCACCAACCAGTTGAGCACGCCCACAGCTGTCTACATCGAACTCACCTTGGCCAAGACACTAGGAATCAAGGTCACTCAACAAACTCAGCATGGACAATTGAGATCAGCCCTGTTCAAGCCTGGGCCCGTATGTATCATTACTCTTCAAATATAATCAAATATATATATATATATGGGAGTTGATCTAAATTCCTTTATCCGGGATCCGTCATTTTCGCCAAAAAAATTACTTTCGCCAAACTTTCGCCTTCCTGCGTTTTATCTGTCGCCGAAGTACGTTGTATTTATGTGTGCCATGTATGTTGTGTTTTGTTCACGTCAATGGCTTCTTCTTTATATACTGGCAAACACAAAATAGAAACTTCACTGTTTGTCAGCATGTGTCTTCTACTTAACTGTTGACACCCTGTACGTCTCTTTTGTTTCTCCTGGGTGTCAGCAAGAATCAAAATTGCAAGAATCACTGTAGTAGCCGGTCACTCAAACTTACTCATAATGGGCTGGGGGTCAGATGTGGCAGGGTGAACTTTCGCCAATCTTGAGCTGAACTTTCGCCAAACTTTCGCCTTTTGCGTGGTAGAGTGTTGTGGCAAAGCCACCCCCCAAAGCAGGAGCAGGAATAGTAGTAGTAGTAGTAGTCGTAGTGGTAGTGGTAGTAGTAGTGGTAGTAGCAGTAGTAGTGGTAGTGGTAGTAGTAGTGGTAGTGGTAGTCGTAGTAGTAGTAGTAGTAGCAGCCGCAGCAGCAGCAGGTTATCTAACTTCCACAGCTCATCTAGCTTCTGAGTCACTGCCACCAGCTGTTCAGAAAGCAAATGAACATTCATACAAAAGTACATATTTAATCTTTCGCCAGATCTTTCGCCAAAAAAAAATACTTTCGCCAGCTCGAGAAAAAACTTTCGCCAAATGAGATTTTTATATGTTCCGGGTCATCGTCATACACACTGCTGACTAGGACCTTTAGATCGACAACCATATACTTTGATGAAGAGCTTCAGAGTGTCTCGGCTCCTGGATGGAACACAAGAAGCCAAGGTTCAAGTTCAACGGTGTAACAGTACAACCTATCCATCTGGTGTCCACCAAGGCGCAAGGAACCCAAACAGGGCCTTCCTCCGTATGTCGGACAAACCTAGGTCAATATTCGACTGCCAAAACATGCCATGAAGTTGTTTGGCAAACCACATTTGAGCATGCACATGAAGCTGGCTCGCCGCAGCCATGCAAGCAACGAAAAAGATCTCCCGCCTTCGGACAACTAGATAGTGGATAGTGATAGTGGCTAATATCGAACGAATCGCCGCAGCATAGATTTTTTGGCACTTCGATGGCAAGCCCAACTGGCCTGTCATCCTCACATAAAGGCCTACTGTAAATACTGTAAATCGTCCTATGGCCTATAGCTGAATTGTTCCACGAAGCTGGTTTGGATCTATAATCATCTGGTAGCGAGGGATCGGCCTTCAGAAGGGCAGACTTGGACTTGCAATCCTGCAAAAATGTTAAACAGTCTCATGCTGCTTTCTTAGTCTTGGCCTTTGCACAACCAGCCTGTCTGCTGTACATTCAGCATGAGCATCCATCAGCCTCTTGATGTTTGGCAAGGCAAACGTGGCGCTCCAAACGTCTGCACCATGACCTCACATGGGCCCTTTGCTGGCTCACCCGCCTCCCAAGCATCGTTTTCTATTTCGTCGGCGATCCCTGGAGCCTCTATTGTCCAGGATCAATTGTTACTGTAAGTTTCCCACTAGCTACTGCTAGCTACCTCAGTTCCTACTAGCTACCTCTCCCTACTGGCGACCTAGCTACTACTAGCGGCCTACCCCCCCCATTAAAAAAAAGAATCAGAGTTGCTCTGAGATGTTGACACCTGAGTTGGCTGTTTCACTAAGCTGTCGCACCCCAGCGTTGACACCCATCAGGCAAACTCCAGGCAGGTGCTCGAGGAAAAAAACCTCGCGGTTTCAAGAGATCGCGGCGGCAGCGCTTTTCACTCGGTCGTTGGTATTGCAGTACCTGCAGGCGGGGCAACAGTTAAAGCATGCAATTAGGCATAGCTGCCGGGCTTCACGGCTTCACAACATATGGCCGAACATATATATATATATATTGTATTTTATATTACAGGCTATATAACAGCTATTTTTAAAAAAATACTATATATATATATATACAGTGTCCTTTTCTGAGTCTATTCCTGTTTTTTCTTGTTAATACTGTATCCACCAAGTAATCATCAGGACTCCCTCCTTCTTGCTTGTGAACTCAAGGTGCTATCTTCTTCCCCTTCTCTTGGGTAAGGCTATGTAAGGCTCATTGTGCGGCTATCTAGGTCTGATTCATGCAGCATGAGGAGAGGCTTCACACAGACCTATGCAGAAACCTGGTGGCTCCCCATTCCCCATGCTGCCTTCTGGCCAGTTCTGAGTTCTGCAATCCAACAAGCTTCTGGAAGCATTTTCTGGCATCAAATAAATAGGTCCTACACTGCCCCACACACTCGTCATGCCTCCAGCTTTGTGTAGATCATCCAGCTATCAAAGCGATCCCTGGTCACAAATTCCTCGGCAAAGGGCATGCAAGTAGATTACGGTAGAACTATAGAGCTTCCCATGTAACTACAAGTCCTTTGAAGGATTGAAGGATGCGGTTAATGCGCGTTTGTAAAAACTACCCTTCAGGAAGGCCCTTGGGACCAGGATGATTCAGCATGATTCCTTGATATCCCATCATTGATCACATCTTTTCCTCCCATTTCCCTCATTGTACCAAGCGTCTCTTGTCTCTGGGATCGCTTGAATTGTTGCAATGCCTGGTCCAGGAAAGTAGTTCAGATTGACGTCCACATGGCAGGGGCGCCCCAGCAAAGTCTCCGGGGAGTCTGGGCGGAAAGGATCGAGATACTCGAGATCTATTGGAGGCTGTGAGCCGGTAAGCCCTTTTTTTGAACGGGGGGTAGGCCGAGGTAGCCAGTAGAAACTAGGGAGTCGCTAGTACCTACAAGTAAGCTACTAGTATGGACGCAGGATAGCCCACGCACTAACCATCGCTAACCATTTGGCTCCTATAGATTTTTAGGGAAGCTTGACTCATGAAGAGACACATGCTTAGAATGAGATGGGGCTGAATGCTGCTGAGGCAGCTGTGGCTCCGCCGTTCACATACCAACACCGGCGGCCCGGTATCGAGTCTCTGCCTGGATGGCTGCTGGACTGTGCTTGGTCACAACCAGCACGGCCAAACATACTTCTGCAATTCAAGGCACCCATCATGAATCAAGTATGCTAAAAGACCGCCCATTGAAGGTTGGCAATAATAATTGCACATTGCAACCCCCATGTAAAGCCCAGAAGGGCTTGCAGGGCTGGTGGGCAGAAGCATCGATACTCATACCTGAGAAGGGACCCCTGTAGGGATTTAGAATTTAGAAGTCAATAATACGTGTATTTTGTGTTGTTGTAAGTAAGTAAAGTCGAAGCTGCGCCTTTTAGGTTTTTTCGCCACAAGGAAAAAGCAAAATTCAACATTGAGGCTCGATATGATAAAGGGTTCCCTTTGAGGCAGCCACTCACTGTGTCATTTGTCAGTAACGCAGACACAGACAACATGCGAGATATGGTGGCGCGCAGAGTTTCCCGATCTGCTGGTCGGTCATGGATCTTTCGAAGATGCTGACACAGACGTCGAAGCGTGGAGGAGCTCTGTTAAGTTAGTTGCGGTCTAGTGAGTCTAGTGGGGTCCAAGTCTAACCTATGACCAGTAACAGTGGATGAGGGATAGTAAAAGGATATAAAAGGCCTTGTATATATAATATACCCTTTATCATATCGAGCCTCAATGTGAAGTATTGTTTTTCCCCGTGGCGAAAAAACATAACAGGCGCAGGTTCGACTTTTCTTACTTACCTGCATTCATCAAAAGCTAGGACAAGAAGCGTGACCGTAATCATTTCAACTAAGCTGCTAAAGCACTGAAAGTCGAGCTTGTTCCTTTCCTGTCATTCTGAAACAATGCAGTGATCGTCCAGTCTCCTGTCATCACACACCTTGCTAATGATGCAGCGGGCGTCATTGGCATCACTCGCATCACCAAGGCCCTTAAAAACATGTATTTTCACTACCTTCTGGACCGCTTGTTTTGCGCTCTCTTGTTTCGTGAGATTGCAAAAGCTCAGGCTCCAGCCCCCCTTCTGTACCGAAAACAACTTTTTGGGGGAAAAGAGTGCAGAAAAGAACAGGCTCCCAGATTTGGTAGCATCGAGAAAGAGAGATTTCTAGAGGTAAGTGCCGAAAAGTAGAGATTCTTTAGGAAGACTAAAATTTATAGAAAAGTCGAGATTTCTAGAATAGAAAAGATCGAGCAGAGGCTTCCAGAGAAAAGTATTGAAACATTTTGTACAGAAGACCGGGCCGAAAAGAACCCAAGATTAGAGAATTGAAAGCGATTTCGGTACTAGTGGAAAAGTGGAGATTCGCAAAAAATGCATTGTCGAAGAGAAAGGAATCCCAAAGTGAGTATATAACTTATGTAATATCTACTGCACAAAGAAGCAAGTCTTCTTGAGAAAAGCATCTGAAAGTAAATTATCTTGAGTGAAATGAATCGAAAAGTAGAGACTGGTATCGCACAGGTTTCATGAGGTTTCTAGGAAAATGTATTTAAATAACTTTAAAAGTAGTTTTGTTCTGGAGAAACGCATCGAAGTGGTGCATTTCTACAGCCAAAAAATTGCTTTTACTTCCGGAATGGACCGACGGTGGGGAATTAGAAAGTCAAAACGCAGCAGTACACAGAGCTGATCAGGCTCTAGTGGATAGCTTCATTGGGTGCAGTCTCCACTGTGCTCACAACCGCAAACTTTCCGCATCCTTCCAATCACGCATGAAGCTATGAGTTGTTCACCATTGTTCACAGCTTTTAATTTATCTTCCGGTTCAACTTCCATTGTAATGTAAAAGGCCGGGCATATGGTCAAATTGTGATCAAGAAATTGCTTCAGACGTGAATGTACAACAAAAAGCTCCACGTATGGCAGCGCAACGAATTCACACGACCTATAGAGCATGCTCAACATGATCTACATACCATATCAACACATGTGAAAACTATGTAGTCAAAGCGAATACCGCCAGCCATCAACAGGAACTCCTGTGCAGGACACCTGCGTTCTTATCGACCCACCGACTCCCGTTCCAATCTCTCCAGCCTGACCGCTATGGCGTTCAAAGCATCACCCAACATCCTTGAAGAGAAAAACATCTGGCCCGAACTGCAAATGCAAAACTAGCGACGTTCTATGTGCACAACAGCGTCATGTGATTTCAGCTGATTATATATATATATACATCTTAGTCTTACCTCTTACCTATTCATCATTCTAAAGCAGCCAGTGTAATTGTGCATATGCCTCTGGCATGCGGTATGCGTTCCTAAACTCTAGCTATCGTTTGGTAGCAAAACTCGTTATATTTTTCCCTATTTGTCCGCAACTCGTATCATCGATCTGGTTCGCTGACTCTGACTCTTTCAGGTTTATAAGCTCAAGGTGCAGGTGCACTGATTTGAGTGGACCCTGTCCCTATCTAGTTCCAGCATGCTCCAGCGCGTGTGATTGTATGCCAAATCAAATGGCGTTTGGACCCCCAAAATGCAAAACGGCTTGCCATATGGGCGTAGCCATGAATCTGGTCAGGCTCAAGTGGGACACCTTCGCTCAGAAGCGTCAAAGAAAGTGGATCGGCTCCAAGTACCGCACTGATGGCAGAGATCAGAGTGTCCGTTGAGATAGATGTGCAGGGTTGGTCCAAAAATAGCGTGAAAATCTCCTCTCCCACCAAGCTGTGACCAACCACTTGCGGCAAATTGAAGCCTCATGGCAGCTCATATTTCTATATATAGTATTATATAGTCACATGTTTCATCATATTTCTATGATTTGAGTTGCACAAACTGGCATGCTGCATAAGCGACCTGGACCTGGAACGTCGTTTTTGTGTTTCTAGGTCTGACTGGTGACTGTCATTCTCGTGGTGATCCTAATGCTTATGGTGGAAGTGGGGGACCCATTGAAATCTCCAAGCTTCAAGGGACAAAAATTGTCTGGAGCTGTCTGGAATCGGGATGGCTTGGAAGGACTAAGGCGTGCGCTTTGAACACTAACAGGAATCAACAAGCCTTACCTTTGCTTGCCCTAAGGCCCAGCGTGTGAACTCCGCACATTTTGTCAAAGCTTTCGGGCTGAATTGACTCTGAAGCTCTCAGGGCAATCATGCGAGAGTAGTTCAGGGATGGTATTGAATAGCCCTTCCGAAAGCGCACTGAGCCCAGGAATTCATAGCTGGGGAAGTGGAAGTCATCTTCAAAAGAAGACTCCGATCTGTAGCCTGCAAAAGTGTATGGGGGATGGTACGAAACGATACAAACCAATATTTTGAAAACGAATCTTCGAAAAGGCAAGAGAAGGCCTGTTGGGACCCATACGTCGGGGTGGCCAACGAAGGCACAGCTCCGAGACCTGCAGCACATCCGTGCCTTCTGAATTGGAATCTTCTCCATCATTTTCAGGATCCGTTGAGTCCCACATCTCGTCCTCTGGAAAGGGCTCCAAGCGTTCCTGCAGAGCCTCTGCATACGACTGCAAATACTCCGCCATGATCTCACTTGGAAGAAGTCTCAGAAGGTCAGAAAATCTCCGAGCATAGCCTAGCTCTTTGAGAAAAGAAATGCATTCCTTTCAACTCTTTGTGTCCAATATTGTCCAATGTTGTCTATGGCAGAATTGTAGTTGACATCAGCTTATTCGGATGGACTTTGATGGACATTGTGTGAAGCTGGTGCTGCCAGTGGAGCCCCAGAATGATACTAAATTACTAAATAGATAGAGCCAAAGAGTGGCTGCAGCGCCGCGGACTTGCATTTCCAGTGATGGCTGATGCCTTGAGCCAGGTGTTCACCGTAGGAGCACACACACACACACACACCCGTGGCATTCATCAACCAGCAGTGGCCGCAGAAAGTGCGTGTGTCAGCATCTGAGCTAGTTAGTGGAATCGTGAGATTGCACTCAGTAAAAACACAACGCGAGCTGTTAGAGCCTATCTTCAACAACCACTGGTGATTACACTGACGGAAGCAGGGTGACAAAACCAACCCGCATACTTATATGTAGAACACATTTATGTCCTCACAACGGTGTCATAAAGGCCTTATCATCAGCCGCGGCAGCCACGGCAGAAAGTCCATCCACGTTCCTTACACGTACATGAGTAAGAGCAACTCCATCCATAAGGTTGGAGGCCACCGCTTCTAGGTTGGAGGCCATCGCTACTAGGTTGGAGGCCATCGCTCTTAGGTTGGAGGCCATCGCTTCTAGGTTGGAGGACGTTCATCCGATATGATGGGCTCACTTGTCACATGTTGTCCTGTGCCTTGAGCGCCGTCCAAGCAGCTTGGTTTCAGTGACCTCCTCGGTGCCAGCCAGACCTGTACCATCTAGAGGCTGGATGGACACATCTTTGCCTGGCACCAGCACGCACAATGCAGCTCGACTTCCCACTTCAAATAATTGGTCATGACAGAATATATATATATATACACAGTAGATATGATATGATTGTATGAATTCGTGGATTGAAATGTTGCAGATGATGCCTGTTAGAGATGATGCCTGTAAAAACTATGGATCGTGCCAGTCCCGACTCACACTGAAGGTTGTCATTTGTTCCCGAACTGTTAAAGTTCACCTGGATTGCAATCAGTAACAACACCTTGCTGACCTTGCTGGCAATACCATGCGAGCTTGTCTGGCGTATGATCCACGTGCCACACTCCTCCATCCAATGCCCCTTTGACATGGCCTGACTCATCCTTGTCTCCGCAGCAAGCAACACATTTCGACTGTTGCCCGCCCATTGAAAAGCCTGGACATTTGGTGTGCATGAATGACTTGGTATGGACGGTTGGGCGTGTGTGGGCAACTACAAAAATGCATAAACATGCACTTCCATCCTGGCACTAAAGGCACATTCCAGCCATGTCAAGCCTGGAACCCACCTGTTGAGGCGCGATAGCGAGCGATGTTTGAACACTGAATGCAGTGGGCATGGAATGCTTGATGGAGCAGCAGATTGAACCAAGGATTCTGGCTACAACTGGCTGGCTAAGCTGTGTCCCACAAGTATTTAAGTTCACAAGTTTGCGGCGTGTCTTTAAGGCCAGCATGCACCATCAAAATGTCATAAAGTTTTTGCTTTGCATATGGCAACATGTTGCAACGTACACAAGCAACCTCTTTGACGTATGAAGTTCAGGGCTCGAGCTGCATTATACCAGCCTCAGCCTTGCCTCAAGAGAGTCAAGGTTCGACACTGACAAAGCTATATACTTCACCAACCTCCGTCGGAGTTTATCAGTGCACAGGTGGGAGGCATGCTCCAATCTTTGAAAGTGTTGTTTGTGAATGACGGGAACTGGGTCAGGGCGAGGGAGGAAGGATTGCAGGGGGCACGAGCTGAGCCCCTTTCCAACTCTAGTGTCTCACAAACTGGCAGTTCCACTCAAACAAGCAAGCGTTCAAGACATCCCAAACATAAAAGCCCAGAATGTCCACCGTGCGAAAACACCCCGGACAAGGGCAAGGCCACTCATGGCTATCGAGGTCGAGTGCTATCAACAACATTTCAACAACTGCAACATGTTTGGTATCCTGCGAGCAGCTGAGCGCGCAGCAGTGGCGAGTGGCATCAGTGATGTTGCTGCTTCACGATTCAGATTCATGATGCTTCTCCTGAGGAAGGTTGCGTCAGCTGAGAGGATGTTAGAGGTGTTGGATGCGTCTGAAGAAGGCACAAGATCTGCAATATAGTTCATAAAACATATAAAACAAAACCAAATACAACACCTACAGATACCTACAGTGTCTTCCGCCAAGGGCCGTGCTGGTGCTGCTGCAATAGGCACCTTCATGCAAGGTTTGGCTCGATGCTTCCAGAGCGGCAAGGAATGCCATGCAGCGATGGACAAGGTAATTCATCCGCTACCGTCTGGAATCTATTTGGATCATTTTGGATCGATTGGCATACAGGCACAGGGTTACACAATTTTACAAAGGGAGACGTTTGCATCTGTCTGTGCATTACATGTATGTTTCCCAATATTGATCAACCTTTGGTGTTGTGATGAGCTTTTGGACCTCTGCGCTGAGATTTGGCAAAAGACCGCTGCAAGTGATTGCTAATACTGTCTTGGACTTGCTTGGAATCCCTGTGAATCTGTCTGGAACAGTATGCATTGAGCATGGCTCAAGATGTACAAAGTGCAACTGTGCAAAAAAAACTACAACATGAAAACCTCCGGGTTGCCCAGCAAAGCACCGCAGTTCCCTCGGCAAGGAATGCATCTTTTGAAAGTTGGCACGTCGGTTGGTGATGGCCCTCTGGCGCACAGGGCTTCCCCAGTGGCTTCAAGCCAAAGAATGTCAAAAGCCATTTCCTGCATGTTCCTGTCACCATCTGTCACCCAATTGGGTGATTCTCGATGTTTCCATCTGTTTCCTATCTAGTCCGTTTCGCTGGCCTTGGCCTTGCATCATTTCTGCTCAGAGCCTCGTACCTTTCAACCAAGTGCTGCTCCGCCTGAAGTTGTCGCGCTTCACGTCGGTTCACTGTCCGTGCTCGCCCTTGTGGTGCCCGTGGAGTTTCTCGGGGAGGTGCCTTAGGAGGCACCCTTGGTCGAGCTGGTCGGGGTGGAGCCTGAACAGGTTGTGGCTGTCTCACCGGTGCCATGGGAACCGTCACTGGTTGTGGCCGAGCCACTGGCATAGCGCAGGCAGGTTGTGGAGGTTGTGGCTCATCCTCATCATAGCTATATTCACTGTAGTAATAGCTGTAATCTGAGTCGGCAGCCGCTTGAGGTGGCAAAGGTGCCGGAACAGCATAAGTGACCTGCTGAGCCTTTGGCTTTGGCTTTGGGGGGGAGGGAGGGCGTCTAAATTGCCTGACCGGCGGCTTCTGTGGTTGACGAGTCTCTGCAGGCACTTGCCGGTTCCGTCTGGGTGGCGAGCGGTGCCGACTGGGTGGAATGGGAGGGTTCCGCCTGACAGGTTGCTCTCTGTGAGGTCGTGGCGGTGGAGTTGGTGCTCGGGGAGGGGCTTTCGGCCGCCGGTATTTCTCGACGTCGTAGTAGACTTCCCGACGTTCGGGCATGCGCTCCGCGCGCGGCTCAGCCCGCTCCCAGCGAGGGTTGGGCTTTGTTGGTGAGAATGAGCGCTCTTTCAGGCGGATGCGGCAGTGTTGTGGGGATCTGCTCCTGGATGGCTGACGTGCCTTGTACTGCGAGGCCTGCGAAGTCTGGGAATATTGAGGCCAATTGTCATTGTGATTGTTGTCCCAACTTGAACGACCCCACCGAGCTCCACCTTTTCCTCCCCTCTCCTCAATCAGGAAAGGAATGTGGATCCTGCAGTTGTTAATGCAACTTTTGTTTGAACAGTCTCTGCGATCATCACGGCCACAAATATGTGGGTAGTATTTGGTCTTGAGACGCTCCATGAAACCTGATGCATTGCTAAGATAATTATGCTCCACCCTCAGCCAAAGAGGCCGAGAGAAACGAGTGGACAGGTCTTCAAGTGCCGCCTCTGCAAGCACGGCGACGCCCTTCTCTGTGATCCAGTTGTGGCTCAAATGGAGCTCCTCCAAGAGGGTGCACTCTTTGAAAATGCCTGCCAGCTCGAAGCAACCTTCATCGTCAATATCGTTTTGAAAGAGCTTCAAGACTCGCAGGTCGGGGCATTGTTTGCAAAATTTCACCACCTCCCTCAAGCCGGAACTTGTCAGCTTGGTCTTAGAAAAGTTCAACTCCACATAATCGAAAAAGCCTTGGCCAGCCAGGATCATGCCAAAGGGATCCGGAAAAAATCAACTAATATATATATATATATATGTATATACACCATACACACATATAATTAAGTGCCCCGTGACAGCTATAAATGGACCCATGAATCCTGCAGGCGGTGAGCCCAACAGACTGCATGAAGTAGATCTATGACGATGTGAGGTTCTGATGCAACGCGACCCTCTAGCAACTGCTGCCAAGTAACCATCTACAGTAGTGTTTCTCCATTTCTCCTCCTGCCACGGAAGGCAGAATCAAGCCCGAGTGTGAGCAAGCTCGCCCCAATTTGCACCCGAAGGGCTGAAGGAGAATTTAAAAGGCTTCAATACGTGTTTCTCAACATGTCCCCCCAGGCTGACATTGGGCGTGTTCTTCGTGTAGCGTGTGTACGCACGCGTGAACGATTCTCACATTTTCTCACAGAAAATGTACCAAATAAGTACTCAACTAGATATATTTGGTCTATATATATATACATATATTTGTAAATATATAACATGTTTGCTTATATACTTATGTATATATTATACAGATACATATACACACACACACATATATATATATATATTAATAAGTATAAATTTATCCACCTAAGTTATATGCATTTCTTCTATCTCCCCATCTGTCAGGTGAGGGCTTTAGTCTCCTCATCCGCGCCCGCCTCCGCCTCATCGTCAACCGAAAGCTCCGGATGGCAGCGTTCCCCGCCAGACCACAACTATCCCCAACTGCAAGTAAGTGCAGGAGGGGCAGTCTTCCCGCCGGACCTCAACCACAAGTCAGGATAGTGGAGGATGGCGGTGCCCCCCCGCCGGACCCCAACCGCAAGCGCAGGATGGCAGAGCCCCCCGCCGCACCTCAACCGCGTAGGCAGTGTTCCCAGCCGGACCTCAACCGCAAATTCCGGCTGGCAGTGTCCCCCGCCGGTGTTCCCGCCGGACCTCAACGATGTCCGCGTGGCAGCGTTCCCCGCTCAACCGCGAGCGTCGGCTGGCAGCGTTCAGTTCCCGGCCGGACCTCAACTGCGAGGTGATATGCTCATTGTTCCAGAGGAACGCAACGGAGCAGTGTTTCAGGTGGCGTTTCGAGCAGGTCGAGTGGTCTTTCGCACTGATGGTGGGGATTACTTAAAGTAAAGTATATGCTTGTTTATATATATAATATATATATATATATATGGATTCATTAAAAAATGCCGAACATAGCTGCCTGAAGTTCGCTCAAATGCTCCCCAACAACATAGGGCATCCACAACATCGTAACGCCTTGAAAATGCCGCTGTAAATCACACCGATGCGTTCTCCCCTCCCTGCCGAGATCCTGCTCTAGTCTTTTCTTCACTTCTTCTGGGTCTTTCAGCCACGATTGCTGAAGCTCTAGCTTGTTCTGCGGCAACAAAGCTGGGCGGGACTCGGCATGGTAGCATGAATCCACAAATTGTTTCACATGTTCTTTGCCCACTACATTGTAATTGAACAAGGTCGAACAGTCAAACAAATGAATGCGAGTCAAGTGTGTGCAAGGGGCCACAGCAAAGAAACGCAGGAGTCCAAAACATTCTCTACTTCAATGCAAATTGACACAGCCATTCTGACGTGGCCAAAATAAGAAGGGAAGGAATTGTGAAAGTGATAAAAGGATTAAAAGGATAGGATGGGTTGACATCTCACAGGTTCCATCCGGCTGGAGAAAACAATTAAGAACGCGGGTCATTCGAGTCATTGGAGGAAGCAGGCTGCCATACTCCCCCCACGACACTCCATTTTGACAGCAACTCCCAAGTCATTAATAGCATGACCCCTTCGATGGCAGGTGCATGACCCTGGCTGGCCCTGGCTCTGTTGGACTTTACTCGCTACATGGTCGCTTGGTAGGAACCGGCCTTATCAAATAGAATTGGTACACAAATCTGGATGTCACCTTCTTTTAGGACAGGGGAGCTTCACAAAAGCGTCCAAAACACGTCACTAAACTTAAACACGTCAGTTTATCAGTTCGTTAAGTGAGTTCGAGGATGTGGAGGATGTGGGCAGGCCATTCAAACTGCATGAACCATTGCATTAAATCTCGTGTTCACGTGCATTCATGCTATGCATAGAGATCGGCAATGACAAGTACCCATGCACATGCTGTCATGATGGTTGGCACAACGGTTCGCGCCGCTTCGCGCCTTCCAATTTCCATAGTGAGTCGATCCGTGAGACTCGACCTTCCCAATGGGTCGCACAGAAGCACCATGAAGCACCCGTAGTGAAGAGTCAAATCAGAAATTCGCAGGAAAGCATGTGGCGCTGAGGTGCTCATCACTTGAGCAACTCTCCTAGCAGGGCACTACCCCCTGCAAAGAAAGGCTTGAAATATGGGCCTTCTCCCATTCCTTCTCTCTGAGGCGTTTTGCCTTCTGTTCATCCTCGCCAAACCTTTCGTGAAGGCGTTGCCGGAGAGTGGACAAAATACTGTTTGTTCCACAAGCTCTGGAGATGTGCATTCTTCACGATTAGTATGAATACATGAATGCTACCGAATGGCTTCAAATGCATGGTGTAAAATGACACCGCTTGAATGAATTCTACATAATTCTACATACCGTTACATGCCAGTCTTCGATTGGCAAGAACAACGAGAGCCGCTAAAAGCAGTTTTATCATGTTTCACACGACAATCAGCAATGGCAACATCATAATTCGTAGTAGATATTAGTAGGATATGTGTGGATACGTTAAGTGCTTTTGACGAAGGCTTCGGCTTCTCAGCGAAATGTCTCAGCTGTGAGGGCCAGCAAGTTAAATGCTGAGTCTTGTGCGGCTCTGGGGAGCGGCCTGGGTCGGGTGCAATCATACGGTACAAAGGGGATAGTTGTTGAGGACCCACCTCCAAGTCATGGGTCAAAACTACAACTTCCACTGCAACAACGCCAAAGAAAGCACTATCGCCAGCGATTCATGCCGCAGGCATTCCCCTCGTTACCTCGTATCCAAACCTTGGGCCCAAACGTCTCTTTTCTCGCACTCCCTCATGCACTGAATCCTGACAAAGTCATGGAATGATAATCATTTGTCCTATTTGGTGTCCACCAGGCCTAGCTAGCAAACCTTGAATGACTATCTTTGATTCTGAAGCTATTTGGCACAAGTCCTCTACACAATTTGTGTCCCTCCCAAGTTTTTCTCACAGTATTAGATGACCTCATCACTGGTTTTTGAAGAGAGACTGTCACATTGCCATAGTGCACTGGCATATCAGTTTATCCTGCCAGCTTAGATGTCTTAACCTCACATCAATTTGTGACAAAATGCTTTCTGAAGACTGGACCGGACCCAGTAATTCTCAAACATCAACGAGGTGAAGTGAGCAAAACACATAAGCCATAGCAAATACTGAAACTACAAACACCTTTACAACTACCCGCCCCTCCCCCCCCAAAAAAAAAAAAAATATATATAACTATAACAACAAACAAAGTGCGTCGGCGTAGGAGGCCGGTAAATGCGTTGTCCCGGTTGATCCAGTTGATCCAATCGACCCGATTGACTTTGTGTGATGGAAGTGTGGTAGTGGTAGTGGCAGTAGTCGTCGTCGTGGTGGTGGTGGCTTGTCCAGGTCAACTGGGTCCTGAGATTCCCTGTGCGGTCGCAATGATTAAAAAAAACACACACACGCAACAACAGAACAGTGGTGGGTCCTGCTCGACCGCAAGCCGACCTTGGCATCATCATTCATGACAAACACCATGGAAAAGTGCATCGAACAAAATTGCATGCGGAAAATTACATTCTCCACTCCACGTCCAGCAAGCTTTACCACAATGCAGTACTTCCACTGCAGCAAAAGCAAACATGCAATGCACTTGCCAAAAACATTGTCTCATGCCTTGCGTGGCACATTTCAGCTACACCGCTACACTCCGCAAATATCTTTACATATTTGGTAGTCCTGCTGCAGCAAGCATATGGATGCGTGCATGTGATGTGCGTGCGTGCCTGCTGCACTTGCAGAATTTACATTAATAACAACGTGAACACAAATCAACTTTCAACAAAGGCCTATACTTGTTGAAGCTGCTTCGGCATCCCCGTCTTCTTCTGCATTTCCCTGGAAGCTGACTCTGTATAGGTTTGCTGCAGCAATCAAACCATGGGTCTTGTAAGACTTGTGCACCCCTGAATCACTTCGAATCTACATCCTCCAAGTGATGAACCTTGAGTTCGAAATGAAACAAGCCAAACTCAGCTAAACTCGCTACCTAGCCTCTGCGATTATTGTGCCCACTATGGGGAGATCTTCTTCTTTGCTCTCTTGATCCTGCGCCATCAAGGACATGAACTGCTTGCTCAAAGCCTTCATGGTCGGTAACTCGGTGACTTAGCAATGCCCCACACATTCCGTCTCGTGCAAACTGGCCTCCTCCTGGTAGTCTGCATTGTCTCCGTCCGCCTTTGCTTTGCACTTGTCATTGGGCACCCTCAATGATGTTGTATAAAGTCATCATGCCTAAAGGCCCTAAAGAGACTGTCATCCAAAGTCTCAGTCCAAGTATTCCCCAATTTAATAATTGCGTGTTGACAGCTGGAAGTCACATCAACAAATTATTCTATGATATGTTTGCGTTAGCAGCCAGGAGGCCCCATAGCCGATAGCATTCCACTCCCTGGTTTAACGTCTTCCACCTTTCAATCGAGCCTGGTAGTTGCTAGCTTAAGCCCTTGCAGTCAAAGCCATGTTTTTGCACAAGTGCCGCCGGCATCCAGCAAACACACCGTTCTGTTTGATTCACCTGTCAAACCATCTCTCCCGAACATCTTATGTAGGTTTCTAAGCACGGAGCATACAGTAATTTGAAGTAGTTCAGTTGAATGTTTTGCACCTTGCGTCTTTTAAATTGGAGAGTTGAATATAGTTGTCTGAAGGCCTTACCTCTTGTGAGTTTGGTTCATTGGTGTTGATTGTGCTTGCGCTTTCACAGGTGGGATTGCAGAATTCAGGTGTTGCAACTTCCTAGACTCTAAGCACTGCTTTCTATCAATAAAATATTGATGCCGATCGCAACGAATAGCTGCCTGAGTTTCCTCTTTGACATTCAAGAAATCCTCACGTCTCAGCCGTCTGCTTGCACCAAACATTGGAACAAAGACTGGAACACAACTACAAATGCAATATAAAGGCATGTGCAAATTGTTCAGGTGTCCAAAACTGCTTCTGAAACACATACCAACCTCCGCTTCTGGAGCTTCTGATTCGTCTGCCGTTTCCTGCGCCATAGGGGGCTTCTTCAAGATCATTGGCATTGTTTGATCAACCTGTGAACTCAAAATGCTCATACAATCATATACAAGGTGATTTTAGATATAACAAATCTGATCTGCATTATACAAGCTAATTTTAAATCATATACGGTGCACGTGTTTTTCTGATCTGCATGATCGCACCGCAAACTCAGAACAGTTGCATGACAATTGCAGCTGTGGTTCCTGCGCTATGATGGTCCCAGCTGCAACCATTTGCTGCCCTTCATCCTCGCCATCATCCTTCACACAAACTGAGGCATACCGTCATACTGGAAAAATGCGTCCACTGTAAATGTTCAATGCCTATGTAACAGGGAAAGGCATGACTGATCCCGAGTGACACTCAAAAAATGCAGTCAAGCTGCAGCACTTCTGTGTTCTTCCACCGCTGGCGCCTGGCAATCTGATGGTCTTGTAGGGACTGGGGGTCAACGTCGGCAAGAATGTGACTGACATTGAGTGACAAGACCTGCTCTTTGCGGGGAAATCAATGTTCAATGGAGGGAGAAATGTGTTTGGAGGCAAAGGGCCCGCTTTCACACACAGTTGGTCGCAACCTCGGCAATCAAAGTGCCATCCTCAAGCAAAGGTTCTTCTTCCTTCACATCGGTCAGGCCCTGCGGTTGCAACATTCATGCGTTCACTCTGAGCAAGTTGCGATCACGATCAGGGAATATGTAAAAAACATCCACTGGCCCGTATTGTGACATGTTCTGCATGTTGTGACTCGCTGGAGTGTATGGTTCGGCCTCCGCCATGTCCAGTACAGGTTCCATTGCGCTGCACTGTCAGCTGGCTGTGATACCAATAATGGTCCTCCGCGTGCCTGACTCTCCACCAGCGTTCTCCCAAATAGAATCATAGCCAATGTCAAAGTTGGTTGATTTTGTTACTCTCTGACTGAGTTGGACGGGTGTGAATGAAAACCATATTTCAGCATGTCGGATCGTGTGGCATCCTCAGGGCCCGAAAATACGAGCTTGAACCACAAAAAGTGTGCAGAAACAAACAATTGGCCTTTTATATCATTCGTGCGGGCTATGCCCAATGTGGTTTGCCATCAAGCCTTGCATTTTCACACGACCCATCTCTAGAAAGGGGGGTGGGTTTTTTTACACCCACCCGCGCCATTAGTACTAACTAGTTTCAAAGCCTGGAAAGTGATACCCTCACCGTAGTCAAATGTAGCATGCCACAAAGTTCAAAGGGCCACTGGGCCGTTCATGTTCGAGCCATGAACAGTCGCACATCATGATGGTTTCATGTCGTTTCCGGCGGGTCATTCATAATTCTGAGACCCATCATTTATTTCGAATGAAACCATCTGGTTTCACCGATAGCTTGACCTATTCCCTTGAATCCAAGTGAGCACTGGTAAGAGCTAGAAAGAATCATATAGGTCGAATGTTAATTGTTTCAGTATCTGGGTCCTTCAAAGCTTTGGGAATTGAATGGCGGGTTAATTCCTTTCGTCTTTGTTCATAGCCAAGGCGCAAAGGGACTTGATTCAGAATTGAATGTTGGTTTAACTCTTTTCGACTGCCTTTCCCACGTTCATTCAAAAGTAAACCTTGACTTAATCCTTTCTGACTGTCTTTGAATGTGCAAAATCCAACTCTAATTCAGAATTGATTCTTAGCTTAATTTGTTTGACGATCTTTCAATCTGCAAATAAATAAAACCCCGGCACCGCAAATCTTTTGTTTGTGGGGCGGGGAGGCTTTGTCGCATCATAATGCCAATCCATGCTCACACACACACTGCCACTTCAGGACCCCACCAATCTTCACTGATGCACACAGGCGGCGTGAAGTGCCGCGTGGAGGGAGAAACTCTGGAATCTGTGACCACTTGCACCGACGCAACAAATGGTTGGCCGCCAATAAAGTCACATCGTTTCCCCATGCCCCTGACTCCATGTGGGAGCACCAGGCATCACAGCGTCCGGCGACGGCGTTGCCAGTGAGCATTACTTGAGAGGAGGGAGACACGAAAGGTAGGACAGCGGGAAGAGAAGAGAACGCGAGAGGCAGGAACAAAAATGCAATGTTCGACATGGTAATTTATCCCCTCGGAGGCGACCTTTCGCAAATCGTAAATATATGTTCATATGAGCCGTGTTTTTTTAAAAGGTAAAGTGCTTATACACTGCTGGGTTGCCTACGCTGGAGGTTTCGCATGGTCAGAATTTGTGGGAAGGGTGGCTTCGCGAGGCTTCGCGCAACACCAGACGCTTCGCGAAATGCTTTCGCGGTTCCGACACGCCAGATTCAACCTTTCATAGACTCTAAGTTTGCCTTCGCGAGTTGGCCTCGCCTGTGTGAAATCCAACAGCCTACGCCAAAGGCTTCGCGAGCCTTCGCTACACACAATGTATCACACAAATGCCTTCGCAAACACTTGTGGAGTTACAGTCTCATCTAAATTTTATCATGCAATAAAAAACGCTAGTCATATGCACTCTAAATGTTCAAACATATGCTCTCGAAATGTTCAAAAAGATTCTTAGGAAAACAAACTTGCCCCATGGATCAGATCATCGGTGAGCATTGAATCGGAGCATCATAGGATTTGAACTATCCTGAAACCATAAGAGGCTCACGAAGACGTTCTCCAGGAGAGAATTGAATTTAGAGGGGGGGTGGGTCTGTATTGAAAAATCAATTCCAAGGGGGCGGGGGGGGGGGGGTTTTGTGAAAAAAAAAAAATGGGGGGGGGGGGGGGTTGAATTGAGTGGTCAATTATTAGACCCGGACGTCCCAACACTTGCTTCGCAAGACAAACTCAAGGTATCCCCTAAAGGGCTACCTTTCGTGATGAGACAACCAGAGCCTGAGGCACAGCGCCATTTGCTTGCATTATCGAACGCAAACTTCCGGAACCATATGTGTGCTTTTCCTTTTTTGAGCAAACAATGGATGGGCAGGTGTGGACAAGGGTGTTTCAATGCCAGAGCCATGTACTTACGAAAGGTTCGCAGCTTGGGCCGGCCTGTCCCTGGCGTTGCTTGGCACCTGTTTTGGCGCCTACCGGAATCTTTGCGAAACCTTGTGGCCTGCCCACATCATACCACACTTGCGCCCATCCACGACCAAATCATCTGTTGTCACCCCAGACTGTCGCGTAGTTCGTCCGAAGGTGCAAACACCGCACGACATATAAGCTTCTGCGTTTCAAAATTTCACCTTGGTTCAAACCCCTAACTTGATGGTTAATCTGAGTTGAACTGAGGCAGTAACGGCAGCATTCTTCACATCTTGCGGACAATCCAAGCTGGAGAGCTGCTAGCATCTCTGCCTTCTTCTCCGCGGCATGCGTCAACTGGAACCAATAGCACAAACGAGCGATACACTGCCATCTTCCAGCGGCTTCTTGCAGACAGGCTCTCAAAGGGCCTGTAGGACGATGTCGGTGAAAATGTTTGCAAAATGGATGAAAATCCAAACGCTTTCGCTGCACCACCGGAGCTTCGTCTTGGCTATCCAAGCGATCCAAATCCAGCAACTGCAGCAACCACAGCGGACACATTGTCGTACTCTCCTCGTGCCAATCTTGCTTCACAAGCAAACACATCCTTCATGAGATTTCATGAGAGATGCCAAATCCACATGACGATGGCTTTGTGATGGCGGTGACCTGGCTCCCGACGGCAGCGTGGGGATCAAAATGGGGTGGTGCCGGAGGAGCAAGACGCAACTGAAACAGGACAGGAATGCAAATCCAGATCCATGGCAGCCGCCGACAGGGCCAGGAAAATGTAAAATCAAACAAACACGAAAGTGTGTTGACTGCGTGGAAAGGAACGCGCCTGAAATTGCAAGAGAAATGAAATGCAGCGTCAGTTAATGTCATTTGTTTTATATTTGATCTATGCTATGGTTGCTGGGTTTAACTAAGCAGTATTACAACCATGAACAAGTGTATATACATGAACAGACGTTGATCGACTATCTCACATGGCGGCTATGGCGCGCAGAAGGTGAAGAAGTAGGGGGTGTCAGCGCCAATCCATCTATGCCAAGAACGCCGGAGATCAACTTTGACTGGTGGATGTGCACCCCGGACATGGTGGCTGACGGTTTGACAAGGGGAATGAAGTGACGAAAAGGCGTTGACGTATACTTTGGCATAAGCCTCCACACGTACATCTCCAGGCAAGGGAGGTAAGGACAAACCCCCATTCAACGGGTCCACAGGGGCCACTCGTCGGGGCACCCAGGGCCCTCACTGAGGAGAGACACACACTTATTGACATACGTACTGGTTCGGTTGCGGTTTGCCATACGCTGGCCTAAGTAAGCCGCCTAAGGGTTCCAAAGGTTTCAAGAACTCAAGTTGGCAAAGCACGAAAACGAACAGCGGCGACAGGTTGACGCCCACCCTAGCTTGAACAGGTGAAGAGGCGCGGTGAAGGAGTGCATTAGGCAAAGGGTCTTGCACCTTCCTCCGCCTATTGGCTCCACACCGGGCCCGTCAAGCCACACCCCTGCTCCGACAAGCCGTGGCATCCGCCTTGCTCAGTCGCTGGTCAGCTATGCTTTCACATGCGGCTTTCACAGCATATGCAGCATCCCTCCAGGGCTTGGATTCGGCCCCCCACACACCAACGTCGACGGCCAACCCCTCCCCCTCGGCCAACTCCTCGAAAAAGACGGCCTCGACGCAACCCCACCAGCCAGCCGTCTCCCAGCCCCTTGACACACCCCCTGCCACTTCTAGTCGGCTGCCTGGCTTATCCTTTCTGGACTTTCCTCCTTCGCGGCCTTGGATTTGGGCCACCCTCCGTCTCACCCTGTACATACTCCGTCTCACCCTGTACATCACCCGCCGTTTCACCTTGTGCCATACTTCCGTCTCGCCCCTGACTTACCATTGCAGGAGACAAAAAAAATATGAGAATTATTGAGAATTTATGAGACCATGTTCTACAACAGCAGCTGCTCAACCCACTACAAAATCAACTGTCCAATGCTTTACAGCAGGCCATGTTCTACACAAGGACAACCACCCCACCCTCAAACTTGCATAAAATCAAGGATCGCACCCTCAACAGTGCGGCACTTGGGGCCTCCATACCAACATATTGAGTCTTTACAACATCAACAGCCCCAAGAAAGAATGCGGCCCTTACAAAATCACCCACCCCACCCCCACAAAAATGGGTACCTGGAAATGAACTTTTTTGTTTACAATATCGAAGCGCTTTTTTTGTTACCCAGGCAGGTTGATTTTGTAAAGGAAATTTGAAGGAGGATGGACAGATCCAAGCTAACAACCCAAATTGTTTTGCCAGACGCCCATCCCTTATCCAAAAACATGGCTGCAAACACCAGATGTTCCTCCAGGCGGCGGTTTGGACGAAAGCCGTGCTGCACCTCTGGCTGATGAAGATCCAAAGTGTTCTCTATCCTCCCCAATAGCATGTACGCGAAAGCTTTGTAAAAAAATCTTGTGTTTGCAACAGGTCGGAAATCTGATGTCTGAACGGCACGCATTTTCTTTGGCAACATTCCATTTACCGTTTCTTTCCAGACTGGCGGCACCGAACCATTGAACAACATGAAATTGTACATATCCAAAAGGCACTGCAAGAAATCATCCGGGATAAATTTCAAAAGTTCCGCTGCAATGCCGACAGTGTCGGGGGCCTTGTTCACTTTCAACCGCCCGATCGCTCGCTGCAACTCTTGCAATGTAAATTCCACTTCACCCAAATGTTCTGGCATTGCTCTGTCATGGACCGGGCCAACGAAAACCAATTCAAAGAGATCTGTAAATTCGTCAGCGAGCGGTTGTTGAACCAATTGCCGGGCGAAAGGTGA